CAAGCAACTGTGAAGGCTGACTTAAACAAGACAGTTCTACTTTGTGTCCCATTAAATAATTGCCTTAATAGCACACTACTTACAAACATGTAAGTAGCATGCTTAATTCTTAGTCGACCTGAGGTAATTTAAAAGTATAAAAACCTCCAAGAATTGAAGAAGGCATGATATATCAAGAATGGCACAAATGAGTGTCTGCTCAAGGGCCTATGAGTGGCTTGAAAATGGCCAATAAGAAAAAGGTTCTGTGAATTTGTATGCCCCAAACCTCTATCCCATTTTGTTGGTACGTGCATGTGGTGAGGTCACCAACAAGCCAAAGCCTAGTGATATTCCGAAAATTCATAATTTGGAGGCTAGATCATGCGACTTGTCGTCAGGCTCAGTTCATCGCTCAGCTGTGACGCGTGTGATTTCGGAGGAGTCGAGAGCAAGCAATTGATAGTCTTTTGTAAGGAAACAAGGCGACATAGGCCAGACATGTCTAGTTAAATTCACACATGCTCAAGTCTGTAGGGAATAGGAATGGATATTTTGGCTTTCTGGAACAACTGGTAAAATTGTTTTCTGCTTTTGAGCGACATACTCAATCCTTTATTATTATTATTATTATTATTATTATTCTATCTTATTATTCAGGTGCTCCACAAATTGAGGCCGAGCCGATTGTCTATGCCGGTCTTGGTGCTCCAGTTCAACTCCGTTGCTCCGTGAAGTCAGTACCACTGCCTCCGATGAATAGTCAGACTTTTTGGCATTTTCGTGGAAGCAGTATTCGGGAAAGTATGAGGTAGGATAACTTTGAGCTGGCAATATTTACTAGTTCTGAGTTTTGGTTAACACAATTTGATGGATGGAGCACTGTTTTATATCCTAACATTTGTCAGTTAATCTGTCATATACACTATTTGGCAAAGTCTTGAAGAACTCGATTACTTTGCTCCTTCTTTTTTTGGTCTTACGCTCAAGCTGAATTGCGGGCAATTTGACTATGTATTCTTTTTTATTGCTTTTTGCTGGATTCTAACTCAAGTTCAGAAACCTCCCTCTTTTCATTAATTCTAAGGCAGAGGAATTAGCTAGAAAATGTCTATTTTTAGGAGCGAATTGTGGTTTTGCAAGAAATGTAATCGTAAATGATGAATACGGCAGCAATTTTGATAATGACGAGAGGCTTGTAACGGAAATTGTGCTAATTTAATATACCATTGCTCTCTTCGATCAAATCTCGATATCATCTCTTCCTTTCCCACATTCGCTTCGCCGGAATGATGTCTCTGGTTTTAGCAGTATTTGGACATGTATTGATATATTTTATCTATTCGCCACAGAATGTCCTTTAATTAAAGCGCAATCTTTTAAGTAGATATATTTCGCAAGGTTTGAGTTGCGCTAGCAGGTAGATAGCGTTAAAATGCATTGTTGGTGGAGATGATTGGCACAATATGACCTGAAAGTGGGCAGCCACTTTAAATTCTCTTACATAAATAGTCTTTCACACAATAGGTATTCCGCAACTTTTTTCATACAATTTAACTTTTTATACGTTTTAGAATGGTTTTGCCTTAATTTCCTATCAGATTAATGTAAGCCCATATAATTATACCATGTATGCCAGCGACATTTTGACATAACCCATTTCCTGTGTATGCGATAAAAAATTGGTTCCCGAATTTCACGTGAGAATCTCGCATCATCCCCTTTTTCTGCCCAAAATGGAAAAAGTACGATTACTTCTCTGGTCGGTGCGACGAGACCCTGAGGTTACTGCATGTTAACAGAAGTCTCTGCAAATGTGGGAATCTACTGAACAGTCTTGTCCGACCCAAACACAATCAGGCCAATTTCCGACGTCAATCATAATAAGAAACCCTTCTAGAGCCAAGTACATAATGCTCTCAGGTCTGTCACACTCGACAAGCGAGCCTGGCATCCAGGTCTCTGATGATGATGCCGGTATGCCGGGCACAATGTAGCTTATAACGACGATCAGTTTGAAGGTGGGGATAGCGTAAACTTTGACAAAATTATTTAGTGGGCCAGTTTTCTGCTTAACCAGGCGGAATTAGCATTTTCAAACCTGGGGATATTCTGCTTGCAATATTGTGCTGAGTTGAAAGAATGTGACTTTTCGACAAAAGTCACTGGCACATAGAATGACCCAACAACTGTTAGCCCGTCATTTGTATAGCCAGATCCATGGGCAAAAAGAGGATTTTCCTGGGCCAGAAGCTCTATTTGTGTAAATCTTCCAGCGCCAGAAAGATCATAGAGACATCCGACTTATCCGTCTATCGTTCCCTGAATCAGTGTCATGTCCAGATCTGCCAAAATAACTCTGATATTAGTCATGATTAGACATAAGAGTTGCTTCTGAAGTCATCAGGGCTAAAACCAATAGGAACCGATAAAAAGAGACTAGTATAATAATAAAATATGAATTTTCTACAACATGCAGCCCGAAAAATAATAATTGCTTAACAGATGATAATGACAGTCCTGCAGGATTGGCCATCCTAGTCACTAAAAAAACATGTAAAGTGTTTATCACAATAGTGACTTCATTAGAATTGAAATAAATAATAAATTATTGAGTAAAATTAACTTTTGTATTTTCCACATTTAAGTATTGTGTCG